GCTATCTCACACCAAAAGACCTGCAGGCTGTTCTGGCTACTCATCAGTTTTTCCGATGGGTACAAAGGGATGGTAACCCACCATCAACCTCAGTTCCCTTCACCCTGTTTATAACAAGCATATTCCTGTCTCAGGGAGTGGACACCAGTGAGCTCACCCACATCAGCTGGTGTAAATGGGTCCCTAACAGACAGAATTTTCTTCTGTGAAGAAATATGCCATATATTTTTATACACATTTTACAACTTTGTGTTTCACTGCAGAAGCAGGTGATTCTTTAATCGCAGTTCTCCCACCTGCAAGGTGATTAATATTATGATTTTTTTTTCATGATCGTTTTTCACTTTCACGGTGTTGTGAGTGAAGAATGCCAGTTCTTYGTGGATCAAGGGAAGATGGGACACCTTATATTTTGCACTGATTCTCAACAAATTTGCATTGATCCAAACTCTAAACAGTCAATAATACAGGCCTATTCTTGTGATCCTTTCATGAGCTCATGATACAGGGAGCCCTGAGCTGTAAATTAAAATAAATACAAGGAAATTTTGCAACTTTGTGTGAAAGTACAAGTATGAAAGTCTGTATTGTACCAGTTCAATGTATTTTCTTTGCAGAGATAACTTACATGAAGAATCATGAATGTAATGACAGCCAGGAGCCATTATTTAGACACATTAACAGAACTCCTTTGTTGCCAGGGAATCCAAATAAATCAGATAAACCTTATTTTTTACTTGAAATGTGTGCAATATATGGAGCATTACTGACATGCTATTTCATGTACGTTTTAATTATAAAACATGCCCATTTTTGTGAGATGTTGCTCAGGTTCTCTGMTACAAAATGCAAACCCTATGTACTGACTGCCAGGACAACCAGCAGAAAGCACTGTGAGTTGAAGTCACATGAATCAATGGCAAGCAGTCTCACACTGACTTAGAGCCTCCAAATTAAATCTGCTTACCTTATTCATATGCATAATTCCAGCAGAGTAATATTTATACAACACCCTTAATTGAAATGGCAGTAGAGTMAGAACATTTTTGATCCATTTGATGAAGTAACAGCACAGGCAGCATCTGCCCCATGTTCTGTCTGCTCACGTAAAGCAGCCCCACACATCTGGACACAGCTGGCATTCACCGCTCCAGAGGGACCCAGGCCTGTATTATGGGATGCACAGGAGCAAAGCTGGAACACCARCTCTTAGATCACACCCTGCCCTGTGCAACGATTCACATTAAACACTTTTGTTCTAAAGAACACTTAAAACACATCACCAGCAATGAGAAACAAAGGGGGAAATAATCTCAYTACTCTTCTCATGGCCTACAGAATGAAAAACACTTGTTTCAGGATTGCTAATAACCACCAGCATTTCAACTCTAAAGACCCAAGTTCAAATCATGATGGAAATACAAGGTTTGAGGGTTTAAATTATGTTCCTCTTTCCAGTCAAGGCATGAATTTTAATGCCTGACAGATTGGAAAAATAAGGGACTTCCCCTTTTTGTTGAGAATGAAAGATACTTGATTTAACATTTTTCTCATTGTCAGCTCTGATGTTAGCAGCAGCAACTTGCACATTTTTATACATCTTGTGGTTTAGTTTGATTCAGCGGAGGACAGCGGGTTTTCCTGTTTTCATGTACTGAATGATCATTGCAATTTACCTCACTTGCACGATGTTCTGGCTTTGCTCACTTTAGAAAGCAACATGTAGTTGCCCATTGGCCTTTCTCTTCCATCAAGCCAATGTGCCAAGTCTTCAGAACCATCTTCCTCCCGTGCAACGGAGTGCACTCTGTGCCTTGTTCATGCTACTGATTCTTCACCAATACAAGCATTAGCTCCCACTGAAGAAACACACTGTAATTATTAAATTAGACAGAAAGCAAACCCAGGACTCTTTTCAAGCTTAAAAGTCAAGTTTATTTTGACCACASCTAGGTGTCCCTCCCCACAAAGGAACACTTCTTTGTAACCATGTCCTTCATCTTTCTGACATCCTATTTTTTCCTGTAATTTCACACATTTAAAACTTTTTTTCAACTCTGTTTGGCTTGATAAARTTCCTCTAATTCTGTTTTCTGAATATAAAAGAGGGCTAAAAATGGTCTTTAAACTGCCAGTTGTTCACACACATATTTAATAGAGCTCCATTAARCATAGGGCTTAGCCCACCAGCATTTTACACAAGCAGGATCCCATTCACTTCTCCTGAAGCTTTACCCAAACAAAAATGCAGTCCTTTMTTTTCACAAAATTAACATCACATTATTTCTTCTGTTCACCAAAACACACCAGGATGCAATTGTACAGTATGTTGGGTGATTCCTTGCTGCAATGTAGTAGGTGGAGCTCAAATTATGGGCCAGATTCAGATGCTGTAACTCTACTGGCAGTGTTTGTATCAGGAAAGTGAAGCAGATGCTTGCAATGCACCATTATTAGAAGAGCAGCAAGTGCTCTCTCAGAATGACAGGATGAGCTTTTTAATATAATTAGAATCCAAAAGAGATTTTTGGAAGCTCAGTCAATTGGGCTCATCTGTTTCACACTCCCAGAGGCAATCAATTCCTGTTCACTTTACTCATCCTGAAAACTTTCCCAAGAAAAAGACCAACGAATTCTGCACACAGAATGACCGTTCTTCAGYTCCCAAAACCCAAAGAGCTTTTGCTGTAACACGCTGTCATGAGTCACCCCATCGAGGGATTCAGCAGAGTTCCAYAGAGAGGTCCTTGGAGCAGAGGCAGTGGCAGCGTCCCGGCCTGGCAGGAGCTGGGCTGGYGTTCCCATGGGCAGCTCCAGAGGGGCTCCCACCCACTCACCTGCCCACAGCAGCGCAGGGCAGGGCAGGGAAGGGAAAGCAGCTTCAGAAAGCAGGCACGGATAAAAAGCAAGCACCGTGCTCTACRAGTAGGTCAGATTGTCAAGCAGTGCCCCAGGACATACCAACCGAAGAAAATAAAAACCCCATCGGGTACAGCCCAAAGGCAAACATCCAAAACCCACTCACAGTGCACCGAACATGTATAGTGGTAACACAAWACACCTCATTCCACAACAACACAAGTACCTTAATCTGTATTTTAAATAGCAAATTAACCATCCCTCCCGTTTCTAGCACTGYTGTCTGGAATCTGGGATTACGTCCTAACAGGCCATTTAAAAGATCTGCCATTGCTAGATTTCATGTTATCTCACTGACGGAGAAAATGAGCTGAGGGAACCAACATGGAATGCAGTCGTTCAGGGAGTGTATAGGCAACCTTATGCAATAATCTTTTAACTGGTTTATTAAATGTGTTTCCTTTTCAGAATAAATTCAACATCTAATGCCAAAATTTCATCAAGRACTCAAAAAGCTTAATAACCAGTTAGTTATCAGCTGTTTAACTTAAGAGTTACAAGAAATAGACATATTACACATCACTAAAATTTTCACACATACACCCACACATACACGCACACTTATCAGCATCCTGTTTATATTAATTTATTTTCACAAATCAATTTCCTTTTTCCTATCATACTCTTCACATTTTCTGAAGGCACAACACCCAAATAGGCAATGTAAAATGTACTTCCTGTAGAAAAGTCTGCAGTCTCCTAAGAGAACGGTTTGGCAAAACCACATTTGTTTAAAAACTCAAGTTCGAAAATGAGCCTTCAAAGAGCAGCAGAGAACACCAAGATTAAAAACTACTTAGGGTGTCTGCACTATTCCTATGCAACACACCACTTAACCTTTAATAAATCAGGACTTTTTCCAAGAAATTACAAAAGCAGAAGTAGTAAAATCTTTTTTCTTTTTTTTTTTTTTTTTAATCATCAAGTTTTAACGATGGGACAGACTCTAGGCAGAGCTCCCAGAAAGAGCCAGACCACCATCTGGCTCCACCATCGAGCAATGACAATTCACAGGCAAYGAGTCTCCAACCAGCGCTCTGAAATCAAACGCTGGGCTGGCTCCATAAAAGCTCTGTTACAGCCATGAGCACACAGCTGTACATCTCCTCCCTCTTCGTACATAAATATACCCTCGGACACAGACAAAGGGAAAAAATAAATCATTTTATGCATTTTTCTATGCTCCCCTGCTATGCCTGTTACTAATCAATGTCAAGAAATAGCTTACATATCTTATGTTTTTTTAGCACTATAGAATATATATAATATATATAATTTTTTTTTTTCACACATGCTAATGTTTCCAGTATGATAAATGGTTTTTAAATCCTGCATTTCTTGTCACRCTGTAGATCCACTTCTATTTGACAGTGACTCCTGGACATACATGTCAAGACAAAAATAAATACTGTCGWGATGGCAAACGTTTTAAAACTCTTAGGACACTAATACAGTGGCACTTGAAAGACCTTTTAAATACAACAAAAAAAGACAATAGAAATAGAAACCTGCTTTGACACAGCYGTAAAACCTCCACTACACTTGTGAGATCTGTATTTGTTTCTGCAAGAGCAGCTCCTAATCTTTGAACACGTCAAATGTTGCACTCCAACCCTCCACCCATACCCTTTGAGAAGTCCACGTTATTTTAAGCAAGCATCCCCTCCAGCTGTACACRAGCAACACTGTATTTCCCAAACAATTGAGGTAATTATAAAAATGAATATCATTTATTATTTTTTTTTATTACTACCATATCTGAACATTTGCTTTCACACAAAAGTCTGATTTTCAGCATTGTTTTCCAAGGGCATCCCCTCCGCATCAAGGGAGAGAAAGATGTGTTAGGAATTGTGCAAGAGTTTTTGTTACCATCTTCAAACCCACAAGAACTTCATGAACACGATTTTGGTACAGAATAACTGCCTGGCATTTTAAAGAAGGAAGTAAGGGGCTTTACACATATATTCAGTTCCACTTATTTTTTTTTTTTAATCGCATCCAATCCAATGCAAGGAGTGAGTAATAAAAAAAAAAAAAAAAAAAAAAAAAAAAAAAAAAACAAAATTTAAAAAAAAAAGAAAAAAAAAAAGAAAAAAAAAAAAGGAAGGAAGAAAGAAATCACATTACTGTATGTTACCCTTCAGCAGTCTTTGAAGGAAATCGGAAACCAGGTTGCCTCTCCCGGCTCCCTCCCTCAGTCAAGGCAGCCGGAGCGGCTCCTCTGCGCGGGGCTCAGCCACCCCCGGGCGGCCGGCGGGCGCCGCTGCCCCGTCACAGCCGCGGCTTCCTGAGCAACGTTCTGCTGAGGTCCTTCACCTCCTCGGGGCTGCCCACCCGCTCGTAGCCCAGCAGGGCCATGGGCTGGTGGCAGTACTCCTCGACCTGCTTGATCTGCTGGTAGCTGAGCGCAGTCCTCCAGGCACTCAGCGCCTGGGTGGCGTTCCTGGCCGACACCACGAACGGCTTGGAGGAATAGCCGGGGCCACTGGTCATGTTGAGGGCGAACTTCTCCATCTCCGGGCTGACCGCCAGATTCACAAAGCCGTATACCTGCCGCAGGGTCTTGATGGGCTCRACCACCAGGTCCTCGTAGCGCACGGCCATGTAGTTGCCCTGGAGCCAGTCAGGGGGGTGCAGAGCAGTCTGMAGGGTCTTGGCCATGCTGCTGCAGATCACCTCCATGGCACCCAGGGCATGGTAGTCCGAGCCGCCTCCCCCCTCCTTCTTGCCGCCCAGCTTGTGGCCATCAAGGAAGGGCATGCGGTGGATGTGGGGGTCCCGGCTCCTCACCACCTGCAGGCTCTCCCGGATGAGGCCGTGCCGGGACTTGATGCGGGAGCTGGCGACGGCCCGGGGGTCCCGCACCAGATGGATGACTTTGAGGTCCAGGGTCGGGTCCCGCATGAGCGGGGCGAGCACGGCCAGGTCGAAGACACGTACGCCCTTGATGACCAGCGTGCGGTACTTGTGGCATTCCTCYTGGAAGCGGCTCAGGCGCTGCGGGGGACACTTTTTGCACACTCGGTCGTCCACCATGCCCACCACCTCCTTGCGGTAGGCCGGGCAGAGGGGCGAGGAGCAGATGACCTTGTTGGTGGCCGCCCCGAAGATGCCGAGCGTGGTGAGGTTCTTGCCGGCGCCCGCCGTGCTGTAGAGCTGGAAGACGGAGAGGTCGCATCGGTACAGGGAGCTCAGCATGTCGCGGGCCGCCCCTTGCAGAGAGACGGCGTCACCGGGGTACAGCTTCTGCCAGACGTGCCACACCGGCTCGTAGAGGAAAAAGACCTCGGGGTTCTGGTTGAAGAGCTCCCCGAAGAAGGACGAGCCCGAGCGCCAGGTGGTGAAGACATAGACCAGCTGCCGCCGGGCGCTCGCCGGGCCGCGGCTCCCGGCCGGTAGCGGCGGCGGCGGGGGGTGGTGGCGGGGGGCTGCCGGGGACTCCCCGCAGCGCCGCGGCTCCCGCCGCCACTTGTACTCCAGCAGGTTGAGCGCGGCGAGCAGCAGCAGCAGCGCGTAGCCCAGGCACAGCGCCAGCGCCTTCCGCCGGCACACTTTCATGCTGGGCGGCGGCGGGGCCAACTGTTGCTCAGCGCCCCGGCGCCCCGGGGCCCGCGGCGGGCAGCAGGGCGCGCCGCCCCCGGCGCCGTCTCC